CATAAGGGCTTTTGGTCCCTTATTGACAATTTCCTGTCACATCAATCTACATAAATCAATCCTATGTGAATATTAAAGGGCTGCTACAATTCCAGGTAAACTCATGAGAGCTGGATTAACAATTGAAAAATCAGTGGAGCAGCAGAGGTCCCAAAATCCTTTAGTCTGAGTGTGGGAGCATTCCAAACATGCTGGTCAACAATTCCAATTTGTTTGTTCCTGCAGGGCAAATGAACAGTCTTTGAAACTCTGCACCCTTTGTTTGTAATCCTTGAAAAATGTGAAGTATCCTGCCCCAAGCCGATGAAACTCTGATGAAAACCTGAAGTTAAATTTTTTCAGTCTTTCGTAAACTCTCGAAAACAAAACCAAATACAAACATCGGCATGCGAAGCAGTTCTGTCAACTGATGCTGATTTTTGAAGGTGATGGAGTTTGCTTTCTGACTATTTAGGGCCCACTGACCTCTATGTTTTATAGATAAAACTGTAGAGCAGGGATGGGCGATTCAAACGGTATGATTGGTTGATGATTACAGTTCAAATGTTCTTGTCATTAAAAGAACCTCCTGGCCTTGCCATAAATAACAATGGAAGAATAGTAGAATTTCACCTTCTTTGTGTGTGTATAAACAAATTTAAACACCCACTTTTACTCAGTTATGGTTATGTGGGAATGAGGCTCAGTGCTATTGTACAGACTAAAAATCATAACCTCCCTCTCTTGTATGTGACTTGCTGTTCACTCAGTATGAAAGAAACCAAACATTGTCATGGTCTTTGGCTTGCAGACAGTTCCATCTGCAGCCAGAAAATAGGTTTATTTATGACATGGCAGACTCAGTCTCAAGGCATGAAATCTGGCTTTACTCTTTTTGCATTAAGCCCAGCATAGAAAACCTCCCAAAATCCAACAGGATTTCTTCAGAGGATAGATTTGTTAAAAAATGCAACAGCCCGTCGATGCTTGCAGCTTGTCTCTTGCTGCACGGGGAATAGAATCAATAGAGATGTAACATGGTGGCTCCAACCAGTAACTCTGTTAGCTCTTTTCCTTTATCTGAATCGAAGCCATACGATGATTAAACTGGCCCAGAATGACAATGCCGGCCTCAGGGGAGTATCGCAGACCTGAAAGAACACACAAAAGGCACCTTTCGCTTTTTCAGTGGGATACTGTAGAAAACGATAAGACTGCAAAGAAGCAATAAAAGGGAACGCTGACATGCAAAGGATTCAAACTATACATAAACAATAAGAAACTTGCATGCAATATTAATAAGGGGAAATTTTGAGAACATACACGATGGTTTTAAAAAATCCTCAAAGTACATGACTGACGATATTTTCAATTCTCCAGCAAAGAAGAAAAGCTACATTGTGTCAGTTCATCCCATATTCTCTGTTTTGCGTGTCCATTTGATCATACTGAAGAAATAAATATATCAAGCTAAATTTTGTTTTAAGCTGTAATAATTTGAAGAGCTTCTTATGTTAGTTTATTGTGTAGTAAGTAGTACATTTGTTGCGTACTATTTTCAGCTCTGGTTTTCTGACAGAGCAACAGCGGTATGAAAAAGTGCCCCACCCCATCGTTTTAACATAAATTAGCTGTAGTGTCTCACATTTTTGGAAAGCTGAGTTTAGTTTCACTTAAATATGATCTGCCTGACAAAGTGGAGTAGACCAAAAATTCCTCAAAAGCCAGACATCATGCAGCGATTCAAGGAAACTCAGGAACAAATAACAAACAAAGTCATTAAGATCTTTTTAAGTCTGGGAAAGGTTATAAAACCATTTCTAAAGCTGTGGGACTCCAGCGAACCACAGTCAGAGCCATTATTCACAAATGGTGAAAACATGGAACAGTAGTGAAGCTTCCCAGGAGCGGCCGGCCGATCGAGAATGGTGTTGTTAATAGTATTGGTCCAGGACGAACATTGCAACTGACCAGTTGTTGTGACGTCATAGCTTTGCCCATATGGAAAAGAAAAAGTAAAAACTTATAAAAGACTTGCATAATATTTGGCCTACTTCATATAGTGAATCATATAAGGCTTATATGATTTACTCATGAAAGTGGCCACTTTCTCATTACTTTCATATATTGTTTTAGTAAGTATCCAAAACATACAAGTTTCATTTATATAATTTTTCAAGGGATCTTATATCTGTTTTCACTCTTGTATGCTTTTCATACAAGTTTTACACAAGACAGATACAAACTTTATAAGATTTATATATATCTTTTCCATATAGGTGGAATGTGGAGAAAAAATAAATTAAATGTCTAAAGAGAATCCCAACAATCAGATGACCCCACCCCTCCATGTGCAAACACTTTGGTGACAGTGGGAAAGAAAAACTCCCTTTTAACAGGAAGAAACCTCCGCCCGAACCAGGCTCAGGGAGGGACGGCCATCTATCATGACTGCTCAGGGGTGATGGAAGGAAGAGTTTTCTTTATTAATTTGTACGTGATAATGTTGGCTTGCAATAGTTTTAACAGCTTGGCTAATGCTAAGTGAATGCTAAGACAAGGTCGTTGGTCAGTGTTGTGTTGATCATGTACCAACATTATTATGACAGTCTAGGCCAGGGGTCGGCAACCTGCGGCTCTTTAGTCCTTATAGTGCGGCTCCGTGTGGTTTGGGTTATTGGGGTATTTAGCTGAAGTGTATTTTATTTATGTTAGTTCTTTTTTAACTTGTAGTTCTAAATTGGAAGATTATTGTGGTATTGGAATATAAAAATAAAATTATATTCTATTATTTTTTCATTTCTCAAAATAAGCGTCACACTCGCGGAAGCCGGTGTACCCACCGAAACGGCATTTATCGAGACTTTCAACCCCAGGTAGGCCAATTATGGATCTTCGGATCGACATTATGTCAGCAGCTGTTCTCCACTGTGAACTTTGTTAAAAACAAACTCCGCTCACGCCTCACGGATGACAGCCCACAGTCCCGTGCAAAGATGAAAGTGACCTCCCCAGACGCCACGCGCAGAGGCCCAGGAGCAGAAGTCCCATTGTAAACATATCACGGCAGACCCGACGATGTCCGCATGAACACGCTTTTCAGCATGTCTTTATTGACCACCTTTCACACACAGTTGCTGATGCATAGAGACGGCTGCAGCCTTGCAGCCCACAGCCCGACACACACCAACACAACAGCACAGACAGCACAGACGTAAAGGTGGCGAGGCGTGATTGCGGGTCCCGCTCAGGTGCGTCCGCCTCCCCTGCAGCGGCGCCGCAGACCACGCCCCGCCACACACATTAACCAGGTAAAATACATATTTAGGCAGAATTGTGCAAACATCTATTTTTCATTTTCTTTAGCAGCATAGTGCTTTTTTCCAATTATTTTTTAAAAGTCAGGTCAAGGCTCCAAAAGCCCAAAGGTGATATAAGGGTGGCGGCTCACAACATTTTTGTTTGCTACATGGATCCCTTTAGTTCAGCTGGGTGTCTTTCCTTTTGTTATATTTCTTTAAGAGTTCAAAATGTGTTAATTACATGAATAAAATGTAATTTTCTCTGTAGCACGTCATGGATTTAAGCAACACACCTTAGTTGTTCACACAAAGCATAAAGGTAAAAAACAATATATACAGTGTTATTTTCATTTTAGATGTCAAAACGTATTTGCGGCTCCCAGTGTTTTCTTTTGCGTGGAAACCGGGTCCAAATGGCTCTTTGGGTGTTAAGGGTTGCAGACCCCTGGTCTAGGCAAAACAACAACACAGTGCTATCATGCTGTGCTCTAACCATATTGATGTGTTTTTAGCAGTTTGTGAATCAAGCTAAAGCTACACATAGCTATAAAGACATTTGAGACCTATTCATTCTTTGTTTTGGACTCTTCTTCACACTTTTTCTATGCAAGAAAATACAGAATATTGCTAGCCATAGCGCTAATTTAGATTCAATCCCATTAAAGGCAAATCTAATAGGCTGTATTTGTTCATCAGTTCATGGCAATCCAAGAGATGCAGTGGGGGAACAAACCCATGACTCTCAAAGCTTTTTGCAGAGGAAAACACCAGGTATTAATACGGGATTTGGCAGGAAGAAGAACTCTTAGCTCAGGTGTAGCGTACAATATGAAATATCCAGATCGCTTCAGCAGTACAGATCGTATATCTGATTAATAAAAACTTAAAGGACATTAGATTTAAGCTTTAAATGTAAAGATTACATTAGAAATCTGTTTTATTTTTTCCCCATCCTTTTGAGAATAAATGATTACACATTAACATTTGTTTTTCTTCCCTGGATAAAACGGCAACTGTTCCCTTAACTTGCTGTTAAATTTTGTGCCAAACTCCAAA